CCAGTATAGCTCAATGGGTCTCCGAGGTACACAAACCGCCACACCACGATAAGGTCCAGTCTCTTCGTGACGGACTGCTGGGTAGTAGTCGGGGGCGATTAAATTAGGCCACGAGTGGCTCATTGGTAGTGTGATTGACTCATATTTTGACAGGACATAGTGCCACTCATCATTTGTTGAAGCAATTCACGTCACGTGGTCACGCATTGGCTGGCTCCTCACAAGACTTCTCAGTCGGGAGACCCTGTCAGATTTTCGAATATTGGCCATAGTGCTCCTGGTCATGCGTATAGAATAAGTATTACGCAGCAGAACGTAGGATGCTGCATTCAGTGATTTCAGAGTGGAGCCATTTATCCAGCTGTTCGACGAATCACAACTAAATCGTCAAAAAGATGGAGAGACCACATACAATCCCAATAGGATTTTAACAGTTCGGGGATTGAGCAAATGGCTAAGCTGCATCATGTTAAGCAACTCAGTTCGTTCTAGACAACCAAACAACCACCTGTGTGTGTCTGATCACAATTCGGACCAAGCGGTTTCGATGACATGATGGTGCCCACTAGTTCAAGGTCACTAACACAAGCGTTATGTCTTGTGCTAAAATTGAGATACAATCGTCGTAACAGGAATGACACAAGTGTTATGTCTTGTGCTAAAATTGAGATACAAAAGCTCAAAATTGTTGAACCAAGGTGACGACCATTTCACAGACATTGTACACTGATAACACAAAGCCATTCATCTGCTGAAAGAGCTGTGATAACTACGGAATCGATGCAACCAGACTAACACTAAAATTGTTGAATTGTTCCGTCAGACTAGGCCCAAGTTGGTGTACACAGTTTTGCATGGCTTTGTACCGAATCCAGATCTGAACATGCGTTTCAGTAGTTATTGGACACGGTGTTTTGTGAATCAGCTTCACTGCTGCACCTTGGGAATGCTAACGGGATCTTGGCGGACAGGTTATAAAAAAGCCTCCAAACTAGTGTGAAAAAGACTGGGTGGTTCTGCAAGCGCTTGCTTGCTCGCTTCCAGACCACCTCCGATGTGGCCACTCCACTCAACCACTCGCCAGTTACAAAGCTGCAGAAGCAGGCGCATGGGTTGGCGAATCAGACGGTTCGCTCAACCATCGGTTCCCATCGCCCAATCATTGCCACAGACTTCTGAGGTCACGAATGCGATTAATGCGTTTTCACGCAAGTGTTCCCTGTGTTGAAATGCATAGCAACTGAAGGTGCCGATGTGAGAAAAAATGTTATCGGCTTTGAGCTCATTTGTTTTACCCCTTAATATCACCAGATGGTTCCCTCTCATCTATACTAACTTGCCGGGATCATTTGTCCTAAAAAGTGAGAATCCTTTGATCATTAGGTAAGAAAAGTTAGCAGAGAAAATTGAAAGGGGTTATCCGATTACCCGGACCTATTTTCTAACTGAGACTATCCTGATCGCTTATCGGTTGCATTCTCCTTTCAACATTTAACATATCTCTGTCTATTCAACGTCAACATATGAACAGCTACCAGGATATACGGGACTTGTTTCATTGGACCTAGAGACAGCTTCGTTCGTTAATGCTGTCGAAATCCTTCAGTCTTTATCGCTACCCACTACTCAAACACCGGCTACGGCAAATCCAGGTTCCTCAGTCGATCGACCCTCACCATTCGACCAGTTAGGTGTCTGCTTCCAGTTTTCAATTTTGTCCTGTATATGTATTATGTATTATGTATATGTATTATGCTATCTGTACAAGCTATCCTAATGAGATTCAGTTGAGTCCCTCGTGGGAACAAAATCGATTTCCGAATGAGTGTATTTCTCGACAACAGTGCAATTTGGGCTCAAGTAGAACATAAGATTGATGGAAACTCGGGGACTGCGCGCCTACCTGATGAGCCCGAACTGGAAGGGCGAAACTGGTCATGGGCTGTCGAAGAGTTTTCAGCAACCTTGTGAGTAGTTTCCTTTATGAAAACATACTGCGATATCTCGAATATCGTGCCAACTGAATCATGAGGGGGCTTGTGTGCAGCACACTCAGTTGTAGAACACCATAAACGAGAGATTTCAGTTGAGTTCTCGTGAGAACCAAACTGATTTGCAAATGAGTGTATTTCTCAAACCTAATGAACCTACATACATTAGGGATCAAACACCCATGGATCGGCGAGATAAGGAGATCAAACATGAAGATTAATGGAGCGTGACGAGTGAACAAAACAGCCAAGAACAATTGTGCGCACCACGGTTGGCCGGCCTAGGACAAAGTGTGTTTGTCCACTCCAAAATACTGTCTGACAGGCTGGCTTTGTCGAGAACGGTAAAAGGCTACCGAAGAATTTTTGGCAACCTGATGAATAGTATGATATGGCACGAGATCATTTTCCAGTAGCTCACATAACAATGCTGGCGGCGGAAATGTCCACTTTTAGGTTGAAAATTTACCGTTGAAAATCTGCTTCTCAAGTCGACCATTCTGAGCATTCTCAGACGTGTCCCTCGTGTAGATGACCAAGTTTAGAACAATTCCATCAAGGGAGCCAAAATTGTAAATACAACCGAAACAAGCATCACGTAGCAATACGGGGCAAAAACTTGTGGGAGATTTCATTAAGAATATCTTTACCTTCTCATACACTGACCAGAAAAGTTTCGACGTAAAATACTGCTCATACGGTTGCTGAAAACTGATCGATAGCCCACGACCGGTTTTACACTTCTTGGGCCGCTCATCAGGCAGGCGCAGTTTCCACCGACCTTGTTTTCTACTTGAACCCAAGATTCAGTAGAAGAACAGCAAAAATGAGAGATTCAGTTGGGTCTTCCGTGAAAACAAAATTGGTTTGCAAATTAGAGTATTTGTCGAAAAAGGGTCGTAGGTTTATCATGGTGATACCGTGTTGATGCAGCCTGGCAGTTTAACAGGCCGCAGGCCGTAAGATCGATGCACAGTTCTGCACATTAGCGTAGCCCATAGTCTACTGAATGCCTCGGTTCAATTAATGTCCTTACTGT